ACTAATTCCTCAAAAGTACTTTTCATTTATTTATGTTTATCTTGGCATATAAAAAAATCTAATAAACTTGCTTGTCTACTTGAATGCGGATATTACAGTATAGCATTGTTTTACAGTATGCATCCATCACCTTGATTAGGAATGCTGTCCTGGATGTGTTTTGTGCTGTCGGATCTGTTGACTTTGATTCGTCTGTTGTCTTATTTGTTCCCTTTTTTTTGCATCAGTTCCAAATCCATATCATGACTCAGCCCACAAGCAAGCTGCCCGCATCTATATTTGCATTGACTCGAAAGCGTACCGTTAAGTGGGTCACATCTTCGGAAACTTTGGCCTGCTTTGCCAGTTGGACCCATGGTAATGAGGACAAAAGGAGGGCGAAATCTGTTGGCCCTTGCGCGACGCTGACTCATAAGCACAAGCGCTGCAGACTGATGCTGTCTTACCAAACTTTGGCCCGACTAGCCTTGAGCTCGGAGAGGGCGGCCTGTATGACCTCATCGAACATCCTCATAAATCAGAAAAGTTTGGCGCGCTTAAAATTCATTTTCTGTAAAGTTTGCTGCAATCTACACTGCCGTTCATGTTTGGGATCAGTAAGATTTTTAAAGAAGTTTCTTAGGCTCATCAAGGCTGTATCTACAGTATTTGATAAAAAAAAATTTAATTTTGTGAAATATTATTGCAATTTAAAATAAGTTTTTTTTGTTTAATACACTTTACAATATAATTTATTCCTGTGATCCAAAGCTGAATTTTCAGCATCATTACTCCAGTCTTCAGTGTCACATGATCCTTCAGAAATCATTCCAATATGCTGATTTATAATCAATGTTGCAAACAGTTGTGCTGCTTAATATTTTTTTGGACCTATGATACTTTTTTCAGAATTCTTTGATAAATAAAAAGTTAAAAAGAACAGTGGTTATATAGAATTTATACACTACTATTCACAAGTATGGGGTCAGTACATTTTTTCTTTGTTTTTAAAAATAAATTAATTAATACTTTTATTCAGCAAGGATGTGTTAAATGGATAAAAAAGTGAGAGTAAAGACTTATATTGTTAGAAAAGATTTCTATTTTGAATAAATGCTGTTCTTTTTAACTTTTTATTCATCAAAGAATCAAAGAAAAACACAACAGTTTCAACACTGATAATAAATCAACATATTAGAATGATTTCTGAAGGATACAGCCTTGATGAGCATGAGAGACTCTATTAAAAATCTTACTGATCCCAAACTTTTGAATGGCAGTGTACATAGAATAGGTTAAACAGAAAAGCCTGCAAAGGAAGCAGCAGTTTTATGACTTTGCAGCTGAATTAAATGAGGCATGTTGATGGCTTTGTGCCTAGGGTGATAAAAGTGATTTTATTTTATTTTTCACGACGATGCCTCAGTGGCACAGGTAGCCTCAGTACTTGGCTTGATGGGGCCTGTCCATTTTCAGATCCCTTTTGCTCTAGTGGAGATGAAGAGGCCGTGATTGTGCCGAAAAAAATATCCGGGAGTGCATGTGCCCTGAATCAACCCTCGACAGTGTAAGGTCACTCTCGACGGCTGGAGGGAGGAGGGGACGTCCTGCTAATCCAAGCTCTCGTCCAGCTCACATGCAGGGATTACATCCTCGCTTTACATTACCACGATCGCCTCCGTGCATCTCGCTGCTGACCTGTTCTCTAACCCGGAGAAAGAACATGACTAAAACACATGCTTAATCACGCCGCATCTCTACAGCTGTTGCATTTTCTGTACTTGAGGAGTTGCTATGGCGACAGTCAGCCATGTTGGCCTTGATGTTTTCACAGTCCCCTCTTATTACGCTCTGTGGTTTGAAATGACTCAGGACGTTTCGGTGCGCCGTACAAATGCTTTCAACAGCACGGTCCACTGAAAGAGAAACTGTGAAGGTAATGTTTGTGCCATGAAAACTGTAAATTGTAAAAAAAAAAATTAATTAATTAATTAATTAATGAAAAAATATTGCTGAAAACATTAATAATAATAAAGTATTTGTAAAATAATTGTAAAAAATTATAATTATTATTATTATAAGTATTTGCAAAAATATTGTAAAAATACTTTTGTGAAAAAATGTCAGATCGTGTCTGGTAAATTGATAATTATTTTAAATATCAGTATTTTAAATTTGTTTTGGCTGACAATCAATCAATAGTTGCTATAAAACTATTTCAATCATGACAACTCTCGGAAGATTTTAGCATGGTGATGGATATGACAATGTTAATGTATTTGGTCTTGTATATATTCAATACTGAATGATTTTTAAATCTCTAATAATAGTCAATATGAATGATATCAGTATGTCATGTATCAATGCACCAAACACAATAAGACCAAAATGTGTGTTAGAAAAGTAAATAGGTTTTGTTTTGATTCATGACTTAGCATCAATATATATAATATAAATCATATGTTGTATGTTATTTTGATGCTTTGTCGAACTTTTTTTTTCACTTTTACAAAAACATAAATAATTGTTAGTAAATTTCACAATTACAAAGAAATGGCAAGAAACACATTGAATTACAAGTGAAATTTGAAGTTTGAAGTAGAAAAAAATGAAATTGTATTTTCTTGTAAAACATACTCCAATAATTATATTTATTTTGATTTACTTTGAAAAAAAAAAACAAAACTTTTTTTAACGGCAAAAAAATTTTTTCC